GCCAGTCTTTTGCTATCAGAGTATGCAAATCTTGGAATGCCCTTCCATCTCATGTCGTTTGTGCACCCCTTATTGAATCTTTCAAGCAGAGACTCGACAAAATCTTGGCACACCTCACATTCGTACACTAAAGGCAAACGGGATTCACTGTAGCCTACATTCTCGATCTCCTACCCGGATCCCTATGTGACTCCTTTTTTTGATGTGTAACGATTCATCTATGTAAACATCCTATGGGACAAGAGAAGCACCAGCTTGTAAGCTATTCCCATAATAAAACTTTGAACTTTGACTTTGACCATTATCGGAGGTTTCAATATGCACGATAAGGAATGGAGAAAGCACTCCTCGGACACTTCGTTCGGGGGACGCAAAACCGAGGCCTTTGCTGTGATCAACTAGTTGACCTCCCCACACGCATCCCTGATCGTATTGGTGACCGCGCCCACACCTTTGACCTCATTCTCACATCCATTCACTCTAATTTCTTCAACATCACTACCCTTTCCCCAACTAGGCTTATCGGACCATGTCTCATTTGTTTTTTCACTTATTTCTCTCATCGCATTTCAGCACCGAACTCCACACGCACCTTTGGCGTTGCGATTCAGCCACCTGGGACGGTTTTCGTGACTTTCTCTGGTCTGTTATCCCTGCAATGATTGGTGTTTCAAAGTTCATGTTTTCACTACTGTTTCAAACCTCGTGGAGATAGTTCTTCTTCTCCTTCTCTTTCTTCGTCTTCTTCTCCTTCTCCTTCTGCTTTTGCTTCTTCTCCATCTTCTTCTCCTTCGTCTTCTTCTTCTTCTCTTTCTCCTTCTTGTTCTTCTTCTTCTCCTTCGTCTTCTTGTTCTTCTCTTTCTTCTTCTCCTTCTCTTTCTTCGTCTCCTTCTCCTTCTGCTTTTGCTTCTTCTCCATCTTCTTCTCCTTCGTCTTCTTGTTCTTCTCTTTCTCCTTCTTGTTCTTCTTCTTCTCCTTCGTCTTCTTGTTCTTCTCTTTCTTCTTCTCCTTCTCTTTCTTCGTCTTCTTCTCCTTCTCCTTCTGCTTTTGCTTCTTCTCCATCTTCTTCTCCTTCGTCTTCTTCTTCTTCTCTTTCTCCTTCTTGTTCTTCTTCTTCTCCTTCGTCTTCTTGTTCTTCTCTTTCTTCTTCTCCTTCTCTTTCTTCGTCTTCTTCTCCTTCTCCTTCTGCTTTTGCTTCTTCTCCATCTTCTTCTCCTTCGTCTTCTTCTTCTTCTCTTTCTCCTTCTTGTTCTTCTTCTTCTCCTTCGTCTTCTTGTTCTTCTCTTTCTTCTTCTCCTTCTCTTTCTTCGTCTTCTTCTCCTTCTCCTTCTGCTTTTGCTTCTTCTCCATCTTCTTCTCCTTCGTCTTCTTCTTCTTCTCTTTCTCCTTCTTGTTCTTCTTCTTCTCCTTCGTCTTCTTGTTCTTCTCTTTCTCCTTCTTGTTCTTCTTCTTCTCCTTCGTCTTCTTGTTCTTCTCTTTCTTCTTCTCCTTCTCTTTCTTCGTCTTCTTCTCCTTCTCCTTCTGCTTTTGCTTCTTCTCCATCTTCTTCTCCTTCGTCTTCTTCTTCTTCTCTTTCTCCTTCTTGTTCTTCTTCTTCTCCTTCGTCTTCTTGTTCTTCTCTTTCTCCTTCTTGTTCTTCTTCTTCTCCTTCGTCTTCTTGTTCTTCTCTTTCTTCTTCTCCTTCTCTTTCTTCGTCTTCTTCTCCTTCTCCTTCTGCTTTTGCTTCTTCTCCATCTTCTTCTCCTTCGTCTTCTTCTTCTTCTCCTTCTTCTTCTTCTCCTTTTTTATATTACAAACTTTTACAAACCCGGCAAACCACGTTCCCCTGAGTGATTTATTCACGTTTGTGACCGTGTTTTACTTTTCCGAATCTCAGTATTCCGTCGTTGGCGTCACTCACCGGAATCCAGCATCCGGCACCCGCTTCATGCAAGCCAGAAAAAAATGCTCACTCATCATACACAGAGAGATAACCACTCTATCTCTCTTCCGTCCTGGGTTGAACAATGAATTCTTCTGCATTTTGGACCCCTCTTATTTCCACTCTCGTCTCTCTCACGCTGAGCGAAAAGTTGGTTTTCTATTCCGTACAAAGCGTTTCTTTACAGCCAAGCACTTGCTATTCTTATATATATATATATATATATATAACTCAAATCCGCCCGGTGCGCGAATAATGTCTACAGGCATCAATGTGGTGGAGCTTCGTATTCCACATTTCCTTTCCTCAACCGTGTTTGTTGTAANAAGCCATCCGACTGATCGGCGAAGCGTTTTTGACGTGCAACCTGCGGTCGCTTTGCCATCACCGGACAGTTGTCTCGTTATCTCTGTTCTATCGTTATTATGTTGGTTTCTACTCTTCGGAAATCGCTTCAGCGGTTTCGCTTCTCTTCCCTTCCTGTTCTCTTCCATCTCGTTCTCAGGCGGGCAGTCATCCTTGTCAGATTTCTGTCCCCAGATAGCTGAATTCTATCGTTCAGTCTTCATTTTTTCTGCAGGACCACGAAATTGTGGAACACTCTTCCCATTTCCGTGCTTCGAAACACTTATAATCTTACTCTTTTCAAACGCAGGATTAACAAAGTGGTTCTCACCTCCCTCTTGTCATTGATTATGGGGTTCATCCTTTCTACTGCAAATCGCTTCGTATGTAATAGAAGAAGGCAATATGCGTACTACATCAAAACGATCAACACAGTGTGTCTTAGCCATCCGCGAAACACTATTGATCGCAACCTGTTCAGCCTGGAGCTAGACGCTCCAGAGAGAGAAAATCAGCTTGGTAACAAACAGGTTCATTATAACTAATCATATTCTGTTAATGTTTCCCTCCGAACATGATTTTTACTTCGTTTGTGGCAATCTTTTATCGGCAGTTTTGGATTCGAGACCAAACCTTGTGGCTCNGCTCGCTTGTCCAAATCAAACGCCCCCTTCCCGCCCGGCCCATCCCCCTTTGCACGTGTAACTGACACCTGCTGCTCAATCGGGGCAGTAAAGAAATGATGTGGAGACCAAAGGTTTGATTTAATCGTTCTGGACAAGCTTGTCTTGACTTAAATAACGGCAAATCACATTTCCCGTGACAACAGTACCGTTGTCAGACTCAGATGGCGTTTCATTTGAAGGAAGTATGACAAACAAAACAAAACAAAAAACACCCTATCCTCGAATGGTACCACAGCTGCTTCCTATTCAATCGAGGTTAGAGCCTGCCTTGATTCACTCCTAACGATCGATTTGATGACTGTTACCCTATCCGCCAGAAGGTATCACGTGACCAGGATCACAAGATTCACTGGT